CTTCTACAGGTTGTTTGAGGGTTACGACTTGGTTTTAGACCAAAGATCATAATCAGATCACATTTGGTTTAGGTTTAAAGCTAATCAGTCCATACTTTTGTATTAACAAAGGATTAAATAACTACATGTGAAGAACTTTCTTTCTGTTTCAGCTGCATTCCTCACATGACTGAACAGATAAACTTCTACTTTAATCAGTACAGTTGTCTACAAAGGGTTTTGTCACGGCTTGTGTTTCAAATGCACTATATGCATGTAACAATGACCTGAAGTGTTTTGTTTTTACATTTCAAGTCTATTTTCCTTTTAAGCATGTAACTCTACTCTCTACAGAGCGTGTTAGTGTCTCTCAGCTAATTGTTTTGGTTTTACAGCCACAGCTTTACTGTCTTGGTTTGTCCTTGCTGTTCTCATCTGAGAGCGAGGTAAAAAATTTCAATTTTCTGCTGTATGAAAGGGAGGACAAAAAGAAAAGAAAAATTAATTAATCAATGTTATAAGAAAGCGTTGAGCTTAAGCATGTAGTTGTGATAGTTAATGCCTTGTTCACACATATAATACAGATTTTTAATAGCAGGCATCCCCATGAGTCTGGAGCTTTGGGCGTATTTGCATTTTTGCATAGACATTATGAACTTATTTTCTGGCGTTCTGCTTTACCCACACTCAACAAAGTAGTTAATTTCTTGAGCAATCTAATTCCACACAGCATTTTTTTTTTATTTAAGCCCTGGTTGCTCATTAAAGTTACAGCATATCATAGAGAGCTGACCGTATGTGCGAACAGGAGGTTAGGGAAGGGTTAGTGGCTGGGGAATACATTGAGGGTCCTCACAAGTATGAGAGCACAAGATAGCGTGTGTGTGTGAGAGAGAGAGAGAGAGAGAGAGAGAAAGTGAGAAAAACTGATGATAAAAGTCAGAGTTGTCTCAGAAGCTACAGGGTAATGCCATCTGGGCCAGTCATTCTCCCTACACCGTTCCCCTCAGTGAAGGTTTGAGTTGTCAGATACAACAGAACCGACTGTTGATTTAGGGCAGTGAATGTGTGTATTTGTGTGTGTGTGTGTGTGTGTGTGTGTGTGTGTGAAAAAGAGGGAGTGTTGCAGTCTGTGAGATTTCTGTGAGCAAAGGAGGCCTGGTACAGTACATCTCCTAAACTGGGTCAGGTTACCTGTACAGTGATCGATTGTCTCCCCACTTTGAAAACCAGTGGCCAAAGAACTCAATCAAAGAGCACCCAGTGAGCCTGGAGACCAATGGATATAAATCAGAGATAGAAGTGTTGCATTGATCCTTCAGACAATCAATACGGTACACATATACAACTCAATACTCTTTGGGTTAGGCTTCATTGGGCTTGTGCTGCGTGAACTGACATGGAAATGGACAGGGAATTTCTCTGCTTGCATACATGCATGAACACGCACACACGCACACGCGCATGCACGCATACACGCACGCACACACACACACACGCGCACACACGCGCACACACACGCACGCACGCGCGCACGCACGCACGCACGCACGCACACACACACACACACACACACACACACACTCACTCTACACTACCCAAAAAAGCACATCCAAATATAGCCTATTGTCACTCTCTGGACTCAGTAGTCCCATATGAATACATGTTAGATGCACTGGAAGGATGGTGAGAACACAGGGTGGAGAGGCGAAGAGGAGAGGAGAGGAAGTGAGGAAAATAGGAGAACAGTAACAAACACAGGAATGACTGTTTTTTTCTGTTTGTGCAGGATTATGGGAGGAAATAACATAATAACTGCAGCAGAAGTACAACCAGGTGTAAGGAATAAGTGCTGCTCCATTTAATGCTTGTTCTCTGTCCATCTACAGTCCCTAGATCTCCAGAGTATGTCAACAATTGCCTCCACAGAGACAGGAGGAGAATGAAATCTTCCAGTGCAATATGCCACCTAAGCCCAAGCCAAAAGTATATATTTGAAATCCTCTCAAATGTTTATTTTTTGTTTGATTGAGCTCTGAGCTCCACCTGGAACAATCTGAACAGTCTCCAAAGGTGAAATCACAGCCAATCTGGCATCCAATGTGCTAAAGGTAAGTATTTGGAGGCATTTTTTTCCCCAGTGCAATGCAAGGAACTGCTGGCTTCTCTAAATCTAAAATAAATAATAAAATTGGTGAGTCTACATTTTTAAATCCGTTTTGACTTGGGCGTATTTTGAGCCGTGACCCTTTCTTCATCAGAATGTGTTGCAGGGAGCTAAGCTTGTCTTTGAGATGGCCAGCAGAGTCTGCTGATCCATAGCTGTGTGACCAAACCACTGACCTCCAACCCGCTGCAGTAGCTTTACGGCCCGGATCGATGCTGTGACCCTCCCTCCTTCTCCTCTCTCTGTCTCACTCTGTCTCATTATCTCTCCCTCCTTCTCTTCCTCCTCTTATTCCCTCCTCTTGCGATCCATCCCTTGTGTTAAAGGGAAATAGGCTTGGGCTAGCTGTGTATCCCCTGTTTGGAGTCAGAGAGGCGTCCCCGGGGGAGGCAGGCCTGACATTGAATGATCTCCCCCTTCTTTTATCAACACATCTCTGAGAGGGGAGAATGGTGACAAGCAAAGTTTCCTCGGGTGTTGTACTTGAGCGTGTTGTGACTTCTGCGTTTAAAAAGTTTAGTAAGGGCTCTTTTTTTAAGAGTTGCTCAATTGTGTTTATCACCAACATTGCACAAACCAAACTCTCATCTGTGCACTTTGTGTCTACTAGCATGACAAATAAGTTTTAAATTCAATTTGCATGAACAAAATACTGAAGATGAGTCAATTAAGAGCACCACATGCTGGTTGATGAAATACCTCATAGTAACAAATCATTGTTTCAAAGGTCTTCCAGGACGCCTGACATTATGTAACAGAGAGAGGACATTGAGACAGATAGAGGACACATTAAGAATATCTCACATGGTCATGGTGATGGCAGTGATTGCAGACACCTCAAGGATAAAATCACCAGTCAGAGAGCATTGTAAATCCGGCACTGACCAATGACATCTCACTTTAATTGCACCGTAGTGACATTCTCTTGCATGGCGGCTCTTATTCACTGCGGGAGAATGCAGCACCCACACAGTGGATTATTAGAGTCACGTTCAAGCTCAAAGTGGCTGTGTGTAAAAGTGTGTGTTTGTGTGTTCATGTGTGGCTGCTAAATGGTTTTTGGTCTGTGGGTGCACAGGCCAGCGTGTGTCCGTACCATCCCAATGAGTGTGTGCACGCTCATCGAGCTGTTGACCTCAGTGGGGCATAACACAGCCACAGATAATGAGCTTTAACGTTCTATTTCATCTTTCTCAATAAGGAGGAGCACAGCAGACACCTGAGGGCCTAAAGGTCAAAGAAAGCAACTCAGCCTGAAAACAGATTACACAATGCAGGCAAGCAGGTAATTATCAAGACAATCATAAATCGCAGGAGAGGCGATAGATTTTCCCGTCTTTAGCAGCGGAGTGGTTGGATTTAGAATTGGGTTTTCACCGTTAAAGCTCAGCCTCAAAGGCTGCTCACCTCCATGGAAACAGGATGAATGTAAAGTGCTATGGAAATACTAGTCACAAGGAACTGTTGTGCACCATTAGCTAGTCTAATTTAAATTTTTCTGACTCTAAATCATTCTTACTTGTTACAGAAACATATGATATTGGCTAGTTATCCGAAATAGAGCAAAACCACAAGTAATAAAAAAGTTATGAAGTGTTTTCAAACTTAGATTAATGCTTTTTTATGACTATTATTCATATTGTGCAACATATTATTCGTTTTAGTGCACAAGATATGAGTTTATAAATCATTGTACTGGTTGTCGTGTCCGCCACAAAAACCTAACCAAATTTATTCCATGAAAGCAAACGGTGACAGTAACTGAAAGCACTTTTTGGAAGACGCGACTGGCGTCTAATTTTCAGGCAGTTACCGCAAGTAACGAACCAGGGAGGGTGCTATCATCTTCCATGCCGACGGAGGCTGGACAGTGACTTGGTGTATTAAATCCACAAACTCTGTCAAGACCCGTCACTGATTGTCACTGAATTGTATCAGCTGCCTAATCATCCGTCACACTGGGACATGAAAAATTAGCCAAAAACTCAGCCTTCTGATAAGTCACACATCATGAGTATTATTTTTAGCAAAGAACTTTCTAGGGTCTAACGTTTCGGTCGAACACCATTAGGCTCATAAATGAGCTTTTAAATGCTTACAATTATTCAAATGTCCCACTTTTTTTTTCTTAATCTATTAGACTAATGAACGCAGAGCATATCTCCTTCAGCTGGTTGGATGTGTACCCTACTGAGGGCCAGACAGAGCACATGGTTCGGGGGGGGGGGTAAAAGGATCTTGCCTGCTGATCTGGCTGATAGTACAACCGCTGTGTTTCACCTGCTCTCAGTGGCATTAACACCAGGAAACATGTCACGGCTGGGTAGGTGTGAATTGAATCTGGCCGCTTGAATCCAATAGAGGCCCCATGCAGCCAAAGTGATCCACTAATGTTTTGCTCAGCTTAATTGAGCGTTGTCCCTTCAACTTAGCCTCACATCTTCATCCAGAGTCTAATAGCCACGGCTTCCCTGAAAGTCTAATTACTTTGCTGGCAAAGTTACAGCAAGAGAAATATAAAACTTTAGGATGCCATGGGAGCTGGGAAATTGCCACCAAAACCAGGAACCCTCTCTAACACACAGATTCAATTTTATTTTTTTCTCATTTCCATGAATATAAGAAGATGATAATGAATCCTCAGATGTGCTTGGCGGCAGCTCGTCTCATACACACAGCGCAAAAATCTGTCGATCAAACCAACAAAACTGATATGTATTCATGTACCATGAATGTCTGCCCTGCCAACCCTCGCACTACACACACACACACACACACACACAGTACGGGACACTCTTCCTCTGCCCTTCACATCCCTTCACATCCCACCCCACAGGCTTTCCCTTTACTGCACCTGCAAAGAGAGTCCTGGCGGCAGACCCTCCGTAGCTCCAGACAGTTGGGTTTCTCCTTATCTTTATAGGAGCAATCAGGCACGATCGTCTGCCTGCGTCGTTCAGCGCAGCCCTCAGTCTGGCAGGGGCAGAAGAGCAGACGGTGGCTGTACTCAGTGGGCACACGGTCCAGGAACATCCTCAGCGCTTTGTGGCAGCGCTTCTTGCTGCACGTTTCACCCTTGTTGGGGTCCTCCTTGCTGCAGGTAGCGATGTAACTGGAGCGTTGCCTCTTGCAGCTGTTGTTGAGGTTGCAGGCTTTGGCCGCATCAAGACAGGGGTTGCAGTTTCTCTCGGCATCAGGACAGTGGAAACCCTTTGGTGCTACTGTGAGCATCCCTGAGAGTGGATACAAAGAAGACAACTTAGAGACTTTAGTGAACCGAAAGGTGAAAAAGTTCATATTCTCATGGTTAAATCACTTGAAAACCCAATGGCAGACATCACTGTCATAGCAGATACACTAGAGGTAGAAGTACTCCTGTGGGTTTCAGTCTTATTTACATGTATTTCCAAGAAAGGGTTGTTAGCAAACACAACCTGGATCAAATATAATCACAACAGAGGTGTAAAAATCTTTTCATTGATAGTCAGCATCAACATCACCGATCGTATGTAGTTTACAGATGGCTCAGCTGCAGTATGATCAACAAATAAAACAATAATCCTTGCATCTCCGCCCATCGGGGAGTTCATTGCACATGTTAGGCTTGAACACTGAAGGAGGTGCTTCAATATCATCTATGCTTCTCTGTTTCTCCAACCAAGAGTGAGCCACTGGAGAGATGCCTGCAGCTAGCCCAAATCCACTCTAACTGAATTATTGATTCAGTCTGTTTCAGAGCTTGAGTGAAATATAAATGAATTAAACTATGATTCCAAATTGGATATTAATAAATTATTCATTTACAGGTAATATTATGATGTGATTACCATAATATTAGCACATTATAAAGTTGTCATCTAATGTATTAAACTTTATGTTGATTTAACACCAATGAAATGTACTGTAATTTTTTGTTATTTGACTTGTAATGACAGAAACAGGAAATTTGATTTAGTCTAATGGAAATAACACACAGCAAACAGGAGTCCTTGGGAAAATACTGATGAGAAAGCATGTTGATGTGAATACTGGTCAGTGGCAAACAACAGTAAATACTGTATCATCTGCCCAAAACGTGTTAAGCTTAAGGACTTGGCAAAGACTACATGCTGTGCTGTATGAGCCACTTATTGGATGGTTCAAGAACAAGATTAAGTTCTCTTATTATTATTATTATTTTTTATTTTTTTTTATTTTTTGTGTAATCACAAACTGAAACATTGCAATTACCCCTCCGGCTGCACATCATATTTGTGGAAAACAGATTATATCATTAGGTGTGTTTGGGTGTTCTGACATACTGCATATAACACAGCGGCAATAAAAAAACACACCTTTCCCTGAGATATACCAGTAATAAAGCAGGATCATGTTCACTTGTGGCACCCCTCTCTTGTATTCAGGCTATATTAGAGAAGTTAACCTCCCTCCCCTGTAGATAATGATATTTCAGAGTTCGTGGCGGCATGGTGACACCCAGAGAGATTCATCTCTTATTCAACAGAACCAATCTCACTCTGTGTCTATCAGACAGCCTGGAGCAAGAAGAAGACCATTTATTTTAGAGGGAGAGGGCCTGCTAAAGATGCTGCACTGTTTTCAAGTGGTGCATCGCACGTTATCAATCCTAGAAATGGGGTTACATAGAACACATCACACTGCAACAGGAGGAAAAAAAATAAGCATACCCCTAAAATTAATGACTTTGCGGTTTCAGATCACGTCAGATAAAACAAAACTCACTGCCACTGAAGAATAGTAGAAGTAGAATATCGGGGGTTTATCACAGAAGGAAGAAAGGACACTTACTCTAGCTTTCCATTAACCAGGGCTTTCATTTAGATGTATCAAGGTTAAATGTAGCAGCCGCTCTGATAAAACAGGGCAGGGTGTTAAGAGACAGGTCCTGAGTTCAACAGATGTAGGTGCGCAGGTCACCAGGGAGAACCTTTCCCTTCTTTTTCATTCAAATGATCAGAGCATGGACTTATTCAAATAAGACATCACTGTAACATCAGATGAAACTTGTTTATCCTTGCACTCTCTGAGGGGAGTCAGTATAAATGCTCTACAACAGATGCCTTACAGCACAGCATACTCAGTCTTGTTAATGTAAGTGACTGAAGAGGCAGACAGAACTGTGCTCAGATCAATCACCTACGCAACAGTAACAAACATAAAACCTTATTGGCAGGATGTGAGACAATTAGCCAACCGCGTCAAACAGGAGCAACTTGGTTGATCTGTGATTACAATAGCAAAGGGAAAGAGAGCGGACTTTGGCACTGAGCATGAGGAGGTCAAAGCAGGGCCAAAGTTTTACTAAAGTGGGCCAAGTTCGGCTGAAGCTGGCCCGAAGCGGGGCGGTACAGTCCAGCTGGAGGAGAGGTTAGCAGGGTGGTTGTCCAGTGGTTCAGGCTACATTACATTGATGGATTGCAGCTCCTAAATCTCCCCTGGCCATCTGCAGGCTCTAATGCGGGCCACTGGGGGGTCCAGGATGAAAAGAAAATAGGAGAAGGATGAGCTACTAAGATTTATCTGACCAAGCAGGGCTGAAGCCGTTTTTGAGGCTGCAGCGATGGATGGGTTTTTACTACCTCTGATTGGGGAGCTGAGATTGAATTTGGAGCTCAACCCAAAAAGATGTCCTGGGGCGAACATAAGACACAAAGCCCACTTGATGGCTTTGACGTGCTTACACACAAACAGGATGATAGCAAGAGCAGAAGGAGAAGAGGAAGGAAGCAAAGAAGTGGAGATGGTCAGGGAAATGTGCAGTATTGTGTTACAGAGTTATAATTGATTTTCCAAGTGCATTACAATAAAGGTTTTCACCAAACACATTCGGCTATAATGTGAAGAGAAAGGGGTTGATAAGCTAATGATACAAGACTTATGAAAATGGAAAAAGCTTTAAGAGGGGAGAGGAGACTTGAGCAGTTGATTACAGCAGCCGATCATGACAGATAGAGAGATGAAATGAGCGGACACAGACTAACAGATTGGACACTTACAGAGACATGCTGGAGAGCTTTCAATTAATCCAGCCTAATTTAGGAAAGATGTGTGACTCTTGGTCAGAATAATTAACCCAGCCCATCAGCAGCGCAATCAACAGCTCTCAGCATCACAATAGTCTGCACGTATCTATTAACTTACCTTGCTGCCTGTTGTACTATACATTAATGAGCAAGCAGGGTATTGACTAAATGAATGAACACATAGATGGGCGAGTGGGTGCACTGATTGATTAACGGATGTTATAAACGCAGAGCAATCAGTGTCATTAAGTGCAGGAAATGTCATAAATAATTTTTCCCCCCATTATATGTTGGTACCTGTTGGTTGAAGAATAAACTAATATGAATGCGTGCAGAGATGTTTTACGTGTGCACGTAGAGCAATGTGACATTAAATTAATTTGGGGAATACAAGACATGAATTCACAATAAGATTATCAAATTGTCTCATGTTGTTTACTCACAATTAGCTGCCAGTGTGTACAGAAAATGTGGTCTCATAACATTTAGTTGGTGTCAACAACAGTTAAAGCACTGTCATTGCTCTCAGTGATCCTGCCGTTTGACTGTAAATAGGCTTTTAATAGGGCTCTCTACTCGATGGGCATCATAAATTAGACCCCACTGATGGCAATGTAGTGGAAATAACCATCTATTCTTTCTGAACATATAGCACACACATGAAGAGAAAGAAAGAGAGGGAAAGGAGTAAAGAGAAAGAAGTAAGAAAGAAGCAGAGGCAGGAGACACCTATATCCAGACAGAAGGAGAGAAACTGAAAAGATCTGCGTTCCACTGAGAAAAAAGAGAGGAATAATAAAGAGAGAAAGGGAGAGGTGAAAGAGGTGGACAGAGCACGTATCAATGAGAAGAAGTGGATAAAACGTTCACATACTCTGTATAGGGATCTTCCTTCCCCAGTAATTGCTCTCCGTCAGCCTAATTTGAATTCTGCATTTCATATATCATCCCATACTCGAGGGACTCTGGGCTGCAGAGGGGAGTTCAGCCCAGGTTAGGAAGAGGTTCTTGGCTACGGGTATGTTCTCAGTAATTAGGAAAGGTGCCAAAGTTTGGATTTAATACGGCCCTGGGTGAGCGTGCGAGAGCTTGTTAGGGAAGTCTTTAGTCTGGACCCCGAGGAGCATGTCAAGCATTTCCGTGTCAAAGGGCTCATCAGTCATTAGCTCTGTACGCCGCGTCGCAGCAGGGTTTGCAGAGGGGAAGAAGAGGGTGCACTGGATCTACAACATCATCTCCCTAAGCCTTACTGAGCAAGTTAGACATGTAGACGTCATCAGAGGAAGACAAACGGAGTTCATGAAGTCCTCTGTTCCCAGGGATCAAGTGAATTTTACCTCTGAGCGTGAAATTATCACTGCAAAATGCATGCCAGATAGGAGAGAGCGAGGGGAGATGGAAATGATGAGAGACGACTAAATATTTGTATGTGAGAATGGAGGTGGGAGAAAGGGTGTCCAAAGGAATTTTAAATAATTGTAAACACACTTCTAAATACTTGAGCTGTTTATGAGCATCTGCCTTCAAGTTGGGCTTCCTCCAGTGAAATTCAAAGCCGGAGCGTCCTCAGTGGCCCCCTCACTCCTTAATATGCATGCTGTTTAGCTCTTTCAGCCGTCACTGGTAATAATGCAAAACATGCTGAAATAATCTAAACACGATCTGTGTGTCAGGTGAACCTACACAATATTGTTTCAATAATCTGCTTCCTTTTTCATCACCAACATACAAGAATGGAATAACTAACTACCTAACAACTAAAAAAAAGAAAAGAAATATCTTCTGTGGATTATTCGTTGTTGTTTAATTCAAACTTGTTAGAGAAACGCTGACTATTATAAAGTGTCTCTGATAAGTGAGCCGCAAACAACAATGCTCATTACTGACCCACAGAGAGACAATCTAAGGCAGGACTAAGGGTAAACTGATTAAAGAATTCACACAAAATAATGAAGCATATAAACAAAGTAATACAAATACACACAGGCACAATCAAGGGTACACACAAAACCAACCTTGCACAAACAAACACAGATACAGTCAGGCCCCTAATAAGCAAAACCCCCCTACTGTACACATGCAAAAAAAAAAAAAAAAAAAAAAAAAAAAAAAAGATCTTAGTGTTTGCCTAAGTAATAGTAATTATTATGAGGACAATGTGAAAATGTCAAACATTTCAACAGCATGCT